ACATGGAGCACCTCAAAGAAGCTAGAAATGAATCTGATAGAGCGAAATAGGCCGTCGAAGAAGCTAGCGTATAAATGAAGGAAGCGAAGAAACAGCTCATATTTTGCTCTTGTGTTGTGGTCTCGTCCAATTGAAGGCTGAAGACGGATGGCATGGATTCGTTACCCTATCCAAAGAAGTTATGGAGGAGGACAAAATCAAGAGCATTATCGCAGAAGCAAATATCAAGATTCTCAACACTTGATTCTATTTTTCACCTATAACGATTGTGTTTTGAGCTGTTATGATTTGTGTTTTCAGCTTTTACAATTTTATTTGCATGTCTTTCAACGTTGAGCTAGTTGCATTCTATCTCACTATCTTTCTGTCTCTTACTGTTAATTGATGGAGCTGGACTGATTTTATAATGGCTCCAAGTTTTGAACCTCCAATATATTTGGATATGAATTTGTGGATTAATCTTGAATTTTCATTTCATTAGATGCGTATGTGACCTAATTACATTCTCTCTGCCTCTAGTTCTCTTTCTCTCTCTCTCTCAATGTTAATTAGATGGAGTTGATGGAGCTAGTCTTGTTTATGATCTATTCCTTGGATATGAAGTAGTTTTTAGAGGTTATATGTTATTTAGGTGAACTCTACGTCTAAACAAGTTGGAAGATCTAGGCAAAGAAAGTGATTGACGGTGTGGGCTTTATCCCTCCTGCCCGCCAATATTTTTGCATTTATAAAATTAAAAATTGAAAAAATCACATGTTCGAGATGGGTTATATGTTGGGCCGGGGGGCATCACACATTTTGTCACACAGACTTTGGTAGTGTTACAGTACTAGCGGCATACTCTTTGGTATTTGTAGGCTCATTTTTGGCAAATAAAAATATGTCAGGTATATTTTATTATTTTTTTTATTTTATAATTAATGACGGTAGATTATTCAATACAAAATAAACGATGTAGATCATTTTTTATTATGGTACTAACAGATGTACGATGTCCGCTAGAAAGCGAAGCTGGAAGATCAATGAAGTTCCGATGAGTTTCGTGAGGCTGCGATGCTTGATGGCAAACATGGAACACCTCAAAGAAGCTGAGATGATTTTTATAGTGCAAAATCAGCCGTCGAAGAAGCAAGCGTATAAATGAAGGAGGCGAAGAAGCAGCTGATATTTTGCTCTTGTGTTATGGTCTCGTCTAACTGAAGGCTGAAGACAGATGGCGTGGATTCGTTACCCTGTTCAAAGAAGCTGTGAAGGAGGATAAAATCAAGAGCATTGTCGCAGAAACAGAAATCAAGGTTCTCAACACTTCATTCTATTTTTCACCTGTTACGACTATATTTTGAGCTATTATGATTTGTATTTTCAGTTGTTACAATTTTGTTTTCATGTCTTTCAACTCTGAGCTAGTTGCATTCTCTTTGACTATCTTTATCTCTCTTACTCTAAATTGATGGAGCTAGACTGGTTTTATGATCGCTTAAAATTTTGAACCGTTAATATCTTTGGATATGAATTTGTGGATTGAACCTAAATTTTCATTTCATTGAGTGCGTATATGACCTAATTACATTCTCTCTGCCTCTAGTTCTCTCTCTCTCTCAATGTTAATTAGATAGAGTTGATGGAGTTGGTCTGATTTTATGATCTATTCATTAGATATGTGAACAAGTTGGAAGATCTGGCCAAAGAATGTGATAGTCCCTATACCTTCGTTCCCTTGGTTCGATCCTTCCCGGTGAACTGCAATTAATTGTTGGATATTTTACGACTATACATTATAAGTTGGTAATCTAGACGCAAATTGTTCTCATTGCAGCTTTTGTGATTCTTTGCCTACGTGTAATCTTTTTGTCTTCTAACTTTATTGTGATTTGAAAATTGGTCTCTTGTCAAAAAAAGAACTTGTAGAAACTTTTTCTTCCCACAAAACTATTCTAACGTTGTGTTTGATACATGGTATTAAACCTTAAGAATGGAAGGGTCATTCTTTAGTAATACCCAAATAAACCAAGTTATTAGGAAATTTCACTTTGCACTTTGCACCTGGGGTATTGACATGATGATAAAAGCTCTCGTGGTCCGAGGATTTGTGGGAGAGGTCTCCTGGAATATGAATTTCTAGAATGCCTTTACAAATGAATTGAAGTGAGAATTAATCTCTTGGGAGTTCGGGGAGTCTAGCAAAACAAATCCAATATATATGTAAGCCCATGTAAAAGGTTGTGCCTATGGCTATGGGTAGCGAGCTCATTCATTGTCAATTAAGTCCTTTTCTTTCATTTCTTGTCTCAATTTGGGATCAAACCGCACGTGAAGCTCAATAGTCCTTTTTTTACTGATGAACAACATCAGACTTCAACTCTCCCTTGAATCTGATCTACCACTAAGCTTGCCCTGCTATGAACCAGGCTTTTAATTGCTCTTCACGGGTCATCACATTACCACTTTATCTGCAATTCCTGCACCCAGTGGCTTTCAACTGCTTTATTGGTAGTTGTGTTTCTATCACTCCATCAAAGTTCTTCAGAGCCATCATTAATGCCGCCCCTACCTGCCAATGCTTCGAGAGTAAATCTATGATCATTAGTCATCAACTACGGGGCCAACTGCTGGGATTAGGGGAAATCCAATACAAGAAGTCCAATATGCATGTTTGGAACTTAAAAACCCCAAAAGCTTTGGCCTATAGGTAGTGAACCTATTAGTAGTTTAGTAAGACCTTTAATTTTATTTCTTGCTTTGTTGTGAAATCAAACTCTTACATGAATCTGAACAAGGTTCATATAGGAAAAGAGTATACTTCGTATTTTGACAGTTGTCACTGGTCATTTTTCTCTAGAGTACTAGTGCTGTCCAAGTAGAGTCGCAAACCAGAATTGTACTTGCAGATTGAGCTTTGTGTTTAGTTAATGAATTATGTGCCTTCCTATACAAATGGTCATCATTATTTTTTTTTCTTATGTGTGTTTCTTGTTATAGATCCTTTGGTAAAAATCATTTTCCTTTCTTCTAGTGGTGTGTAAGATATATGCAGACATCAAATTTCTGTCGGACCTCCAAGCACTCTTTTGATTCTATCTTGTTCCATTCTTGTGAACTAAAATGGGATATTTTTCATTTTCCATGTCATTATTATACAATTTCACACTCTATGTGGTAGCTTTACTTATGTTCTGTGAGTCTGAGTAGTTGACTCCACCACAAGCAAGGTAAATGCCCCTTTCTACATCTAGAAAGGTGCAAACCCCGCCACTTTCATTAGCTTCTAAATTCCTGAAAATTTCCAATCCTCGAGTGTGAGCTCAGTTTAGAGCATGTTTCAGAATCTGGCATCTGAAGCATGTCCAGCTCAATTATGTTTTACAGCAATTACCAACAGTCTGGCAATTTTTTTCACAAGATGAAGTCAAGCAATTTTTTCTAATGGTGTTCTAGATTGTTTTACGTAGTATCTTCAGGTACGAGCATTAAGTCTTCTACACATGGGAGGGTACACACACCACACCTCTCTCTCTCTCTCTCTCTCACCTACTAATTTATTCTCATTAATAAAGTTTTCTGACCACCACCATTGCCTTAAGTGGTTAGGTCACCTAGGCCCAACCACTCAATCTTTATCTTTTACTATTAATTACTCTATCAATTATATTGCATCATACACTCAACTGATTTAATTGTGTATAACTTATTTTGTGCATCATCAGTTTGGCGTTATCTGTGAGATTGATTTGATTCTCACCCTATAATCTTCCAACCTCCAATGGCAATCACAACCAGATTCCTAAACCACCAAGCGGAAGATGACCCCCCACATCACGACAAGGACCCCCCACCACCGATGAACCCCGTCCCTAAATCCCAACAACTGTTACAGACCATGCTAAGAATGTCGCCAAAGCAAGGCGAACTAAGTCCTCACAAAGAGAGAAATACGAAAATGAGACACGGGCAAATTCTACTTCTTCACTAATTTGTGGTTAAAATTCAAATTCAGTGAAAAACAAGCATTTTATTGCTATTATTTTTGTCCATTGCACCCATAAGGCACACGTGGCATTGTCTGTGAGGCACATATGAAATTTTATGCTAGCAATTTTAAAGACAAAATTGAATACGTGAAATTCTCGATTTCTAAAATCATTGATTGCATCATTTAGATGTAAATTAAAAACTTTGAGGTATTAAAGTGACATAATTGAAAGAATGAAGACCTTAAGTGCGACAAAACATATACTTTGAGACCATTACCATGTCCTGTTCAAACGAAAAAGAAAGTTGGGAAGTGTTCTTGTCAAGATATTCAAAGTTGCAGCAACTTCATACTGGATACCAAGTTAAAAATATGAAATGAATCAGTTTATTTTTTGGCAATCTTGACAGTATTTACCACAGCTGTGAAAATCTACTACCCAAACATAAAGAAGAAAGGGGAATGGGGATAGGGTTCCACCAGCCGAGCAAAAATTATTACTCAGTTTTGGCTCGAAAGGTTCAGCTAAAGCCGAGCTTGAGAAAAAATATAAGTTTGGTAATCGAGCTTTGTCGGTCATAACCAGACCGGACCAAATCTAATCATAAATAAGTTCAACAAACTCAGACTCAAACTCAATTCAACCCTAATATTGCATTCGCTAAAATTTGTACCCGCTCTCTTCAAACTTCCTACACCAAATCACGCACATTGTTTTGAACATGATTTTGAAAGCTATATCAACCTTCCCTAGAACATCGAAAAATCAGAAATAAATCCATAAAAAGCCGGTTTGACACACATACAGCTACCCAGTTACTCCAGTATATGTCATGGCAACGCATATTTAGTCATAATACAAAGGCGAACACCCTCAGACATTATGAGGACACCACCACCAAACTTGCTATAAACAAGCAGAAGCAAGTTTAACACAACTTTATAGAGTATTTCCTGCAGCAGTAAATATATATATACACTGCTGTTCATGTAGTTTTTGTCAAGTAGAAAAGAGATATCTGAAGTAACCTTGAATGCAGCTGACACAAGGGTCAAGCCATGAGAACTAATAAGATTTTAAAGTAATGCAAATAAAGCAAGAATCTGGAAGTCTAGCTTGTGAGAGGATCCATTGTAGAAATGTAACACAGGGTCTTACAGTAATGGTGGATGCCAGAGCAGAAATGAGACACATATATAGATAAGTCTTTCTTCAAATATATTGACGACTGAAGATAACCAAATTCTTTTTTCTAATACAGCGCTTGTAATCTGCTAGGAGTGAATTCCCATTCGCCCTTCGTTCATGGTTCAAAAGTTGGCACTTGATCTATAGGATAAGAAATTGCTCCATACACTGTTCTATCAATGATACCTCTATAAGGATCCTCCTCTCGCTTTTTAATCAAATAAGCCAGATTGCATTCAATTTCAGATTTTATCTGCAAATACAACTTGTTCGCACTTTCTTTGTGCTTCAGCTCCTTTTCCCTTCCCTTTGTTTGTATAGGCTTTCCAAAAAGATAGTAGAATCGTCCAGGTACCTTAGGCAGAACGCCCGGGAGAAAGAAATCTTGGCTGGCAACCTCCTCACCCGTTTCAGCCCTATAACCAGAACATAAACCGTGTCACCAGATATAACTTTTACATCTTGATCATTACTACAAGCGAGCCTTGAGCCATCTGTTAAACCACAATCTCGTCTAAAAGCTTAAACTATTAAAGAGGGCTTAATAAAAGTATTTATATACGTCAATCAAAATTATCCCTCACATATGGGCCAGGTTTTGGACCAAAAACGTGGAAATCTTAATAGTTATAAGGTGGCAGCAAGATTCATCAGAACCTCTGATTATGATACCATGTTAAAGTACCATCTCATCTAAAACGTAAGTTGTTAGAGAGGGTTTAACATAAAGGTTTGGATACTTCAAAAGCATCTAGGCATGAAGCAAATATGGAATAAAAAATTACTTTTATCAAATCAATGAATAAATACCTCACTCTTACAGTCTGTTCATTAGTTCTTCTTATGTAATCATTAAGCACAGGGATTCTCATCATGTCATTGTAATCAAAAACTACCTGTGCATATTAGAGAAAAAAGCATCAACAAGTAAACGATCAATAGTACACAAAGTAAGACTTTAACTTCAAACTTGCTTTTGGGGAAAGGTGGAATATGGGGAAAATAGGGGAAAAGGGAAAGCGGGGTTGTAGGGGGCAAAAAAAAAAATAGTAACAATCATTCAAATTTCAAATCAATAACTTATGAGCACAAATCTAACTAAGGACAAATAGAAACAAACAGAAAGAGTAGATAAACAAAAATGGTGCTAAAAATGTAATACAGTTCATCTGGAATGCCAATGGATGTAAATGCATGAACAGAAACTGAAATTTATTCCTCCTACAATGATGAGTGTCAGTGGCCTGCCTGTTGCCACATATGCGGAACAAAAATGGCTTTGTTTCTCAGAGTTTAGTCATTATGATCACCACCATCACCGACTCATTGTCAATTTGCCACCATAACTAAAATCAGCCCCCACCACAGCATCATTAATGAATCTACCACCCCCACACCATTATCACCTTAGCTGCTGCCACTTAAGTATGGACATTCTAGGGTGAGTGTGCAACACATCCTACATCCTGATTGAAAAAACCCACAGATAAATGCAAGCAGACAAGAGGAAACTCGTAATCAATGTGTCCATAGTTCCCATAATTCTTCTCTATTTCAGACACATCACTAACCATTGTTGAATAACTGTTAACATCCTTTTTTTGGTCTTGGGTGATCTGATCCCAGAATGGGGAGGAGAGAGTGAGCCTCTTGTGGGCCATCCGAAGCCACCAGAACTAGGTTTGTGATGGTTACTTGCCAACATTCAACAGACTAACCATGGCATAGAGATATGACTTTCTTTAAAAAGGAAAATAAGTAAATAACTTAAGAGAAATGCAATCAAATGTTAATACATTGTTATAACTTATAATAAATCTTTGCCACACTTAGATAACAAAAAGTACAATCCAAGAATGTTTTATGAACTGGATGGCGTGAGAAGAGAACTCAAGCCATCATGATTATTTTGTGAATTATATGAGCAATAGGCATAATCATATTCTTATATATGAATATGGATGCACAACCATCCACCCACACACACAAACCATATTCATACCCTTGATGGTCTTTGGTTGTGCAAAATGAACAAATTATTAACTTTTTAGGTAAAGAACATATGATTACAATACATTATGGTACCAATTATATGCCACAAACAAATATTAGACTTATTAGCAAAATTTTAATACAATTGTTCATGTAGCAAAAGTTTCTGTATTCCTGTCCTACTATGTTGAATTTGTCCTGCTAGTTTGTATGTCTAAAGTGGAGAATGTGTCCCATGTCTCATGTCCCAGCCCATACTTCATAAGGCACCATCATTGCACCATTCCCCCACTGCCGATTGTAGCCATTGCAATTGTGTCATTACTCCCCCTAAACCCGCATCACAGCTGCTATTATCCCCCTCCTGCCACCATCATAACACCAGAGCCATCATCTCTATTGCTGTCACACCAACACAACAGCCACACCAACCACGATGGCCGTAACAACACTAAACCATCATTAGCCTACACCAGTCCCCTGTACAGTTGTACCACAGACCACCACTGCATGAAAATGGGGGAACACCTTCAACACTCACAACTCTTCCCATGCCTCCGCGTCAGTTTTCACCCTTCAGTCTCCCTCATAACTGTCACTGCCTGCTGCTGCTACCATCATCCTCGGCAAAATATTATCATAACGTATCATTACCATCACCGTAAACATCACGACACTCATCTAGTTTTCATATATATATCCAAATATTATATATACCAACTATTACTGTAACACATTTAGTAGTTTCCTCTAACATCATAAAGAAAATGTGAATCATTCCTGATATAGACACATAAATCTGAGAAAAAAATACTGTTAAACAACCATATACTCCAAAACCTTAAGTTGTTAAAGAGTGTGTAACTTCATTATTATACTTCAACACACCCCTCACGTGCAGGCTAGATTTTGACCCCAACACATGGAAATCTTTTAATTAGGTGACGGCGAGATTCGAATACAGGACCACCAGTTTTGATGTTATGTTAAACAACCATCTACTCCAAAAGGTTAAGATATTACAAAAGTGTGTAACTTCAGTAAATACTTCAATAGAGAACACAATCACTTGTAAAATCTTTATCAAGAATCAAATGCCAAAGAGAAACAATCCTCATCTAGAATAAAGATTAGCGGGACAAAAGGGATTCAAACATGAAAATAAAGGGGCTCATGCTTGCTTACTTCTGCTATGTCATCTTCTCCAATAGCTCCAAATGGTACAATTGTGGCCCCAAAACCTTGCAGCCATTCTCACAAATTCTGGTTTATCAGGCCAAAATAACTTATATTGTTCACCCTGGGAATCAGAGAAGCACCATCACAATTGAGACAAAGATTTTCATGAGTATAAGAAACCTACACCTATAAAGCCAATATACAGTCTTGAGCAATTAAAATAGAAAAGACCTTACTCACGCAACCCATGCAATCATGGTTCTCTGTACTACTCAATCTTCTCAGTGAAAGAAACCAAATAGTACCATTGGCACATCAAAGTTTCAGGTTAGCAAAAAGTCCATGCTTGTGTTGTGGGGTGATTTTTGTCATTTTAATAGCCAGGTTCCCCCGAACCTTGTTCCATGATTGTGGTGAAACTCCAAACTAGTAAGGAGGTGGCACTTCTCAAGTGATCCTGCTTATGAAACCTTCAGTATATTCTATCAACCCTCCACCTCGAGAAATCTAACTGTAATTGAGAATTCCAGCCTAATATTCTACACTCAGACAACTTACTTGCATTTTAAACATTGCCTACACTTTTCCTGTTTCACATCTCCTAATATCCCTCTATAGAAGCGCTAGTACAATAAACTTCCTTAGCCCAGCCATCTGCTAAAAACATCAACAAATTAACATATACAACTAATGAAATGAAAATGTGCATGATGGTATAAAACCACCCATATAATTCTCGTTTTGGTGCATATTTTTCAACCAGCTCAGAAACGAATACTTTT